AGTGCCTGAAACTATGGTAATTTTTCAAAAATGACAGTGTCAAAATTTTGCTCTTACAGTATAGTATCTGTAACTACTAATAATGCTGTTTTGGGCTGACTCAGTTGCTTTGAAATAGCACAGCTCTGTTATGAGTAAATGAGAGACAACCAATTATCTATAAAATAATGGCATGCACAGAGGAGAGTTTGATGAATTACAAGTGAGCTCTGCTGATACAACAGGGTGTGGAAACCTGCCCTGCTCTGACTTTCTTTTAGAGTCAGGGGTGATGCTTGCATATTTTACAAACAACACACCTTACTCAGTTCCAACATGGGGTGCGAGTAGGTATAGGGAGAAGATAAAATCTTTCCCCACTGGTACACACATCATTGCTTTAAAATTAAGTAAGGAACTTAACATGGGAGTATCGAGGTAGTAAATCTGAATATTAAATACCTAAATAATTACTATGTTCCAGGAAGGATGCAAGATTAGGTAAGGAATGCAGATCCACTGTCATTCAATGTGATTTAGGACATAGACTAAAAGAGCCATCGCAGAACCTTTATCCCGGAACTCAGCCCAGTGTGTGGGAGCCAATGCATAAATTCACCTAAGCAGAAGGCAGATGTTGAATTCCTGGAACCAAAGGATTGCCAGCCTCATCAGGGACCTGTCAGGTGGAGAGTGAGACAATTGCAGCTGCATTCAGCAACCCTTGGACTGTTGGCTTTTCCTGTGCATGACAAAGGCAATGTCTGTTTTCACAACTGCTTAAGAAATTACAATTCAAAGTCATTTTCTGCTAGGCAAATGATACAGAGAGTAGCCAAAACACTGCAACATCATGCAGAGTTATATGGGAAGATCAAGCGAATTCTTCCACACAACTAAGCTAATGTTGGTCCCTGATGGCTCCAAGAGGCTGAAGAAACAGTTTATAGTTTTGGAATGTTTATCTTTGTGGTCTATGGCAGTCTTGTCATGCTGAGGATTAGTCTGGGTTTATACATAAAGGAGATACAGAACAGGGGTTTCTACTGACTGAGCAGTTGCTAGGTATTTCTACCCCAAACATTCAACAGAGAGCAGCTCTTTGCCTATTACGGTAACTTTTCCTATATAGGGCATCTCTGGGTATAAGTTTGCACATTCTCCTCTGCAATATGTTGGTTTTTAAGGTAGACTGATGGTAAATAAACTGTTAAGGCCAAACCCTGGGAGTTGGTCTTCCAGGAAAAAGAGTGATTTCAAACAGATCCAATCAGCCTAGAGACTGAGCGTGCCTGTGGGAGGCAGTGGATCGCGGTGCAGGGCTTCCCGCCTGGTGTCCTCCTGCCGGGCACAGAGAGTGGCCTCTCATTCCTGGGAAGCTGACTCTACTTTCCCCCATAGGCTTTATCTTCTCCGGGTGCCTGGTGAGAGACATGGGGAGCAGTGGCTTAGGGGTTGGAGCAGGTCTGGAGCCAGCTTGTTCTCAGTTTGAATTCTGATCTCTATTGCTGTTTCCCAAACATAGGAATTATTTGCCTGTTTAAGATAATTTTAAGTGATCTACATTGAATCTCTTTATAGGTTATTCTCTTTGAATCCTTGTGAATAGGTCAAATGGAGAGTCTCAGTTTGGGGCTAGAATTAAATACCTCTCTAAGGATGGCCAGCCTCTCTTTTTAACAAAGAGAATGAACTTCAGTCCCAATAGGCAAGCAACTATGTAGAGTTGGAATTCATCAGCATTGTTTTTCTTTTATATTTATTTGCTTAACTTCTAATTACAAGTAATACTCATTTTCCATTGAGGCTAAGATATAAAATTTAAGATAAATGAACTGAAAATTAAAAAGTGAATCAAGTAAATAAGTAAAACCATACCCTAGGTGGTACACAAAGATGAGACTAATCATGACAAAATGGGAATGAATGAAATTTGGAAAAGACTATATTCTCCCAAGGTCATATTACTCAGGCATGTGGTCAAATGGTAAAGAAAAGAGAGCGGGCAGCCTAGGTAGGAATCAGCATGGTCTGGAACAAATTGAAAGTGAGCAAAGTCAGGTGGTGCAAGTTCAGGCCTATTTTGGTTCCTGCTACCTGAGCGCAACGTGGCCGGGGAGGCAAGTGCTGGAGAGGATGGCATTAACAAGGCTGGCAAGGAAGTCCAGCAGGGGATGAAGAGGGACGTTCTCACAGTGGGACCAGGGAGACCAGGAGACCAGGTGAAGAGGCTAAAGAGAGCATTTGGAGGGTGAGGGGAGCTGGGTTAGTGAGGTGGTGCCGACTGGAGAAGCGAGCTCTTTTAGCAAGGTGGGCAGTACGAAGACTACGAGAATGGCCCTTGGGGTTGGACTGTATCAGGTCAAATCTCAGCCCCATCACTTATAATTCATTTACCTTGGAATAGCACTTAGTATCACTGAGTCTCAGTTTTCTCATCCCCTGCAAGATGGGATAATAACAGAACCTATGTCTTACAAAGTCTTGGTAATGTTAGCTATTGTTATCAATTCCAGGGCTAAGCCCCATCGTATCTGCCTTTGTGCATGTTGCAAATTGTGCAGTCTTGTAGAGTGAGCACCATCAAAGTCTTTAAACTGGCTCTGCCTAAGACTGACTTGCTGCTAAGGGTATAATGAAAAGAGCTTGGAGAGGCCAAGTTTATCTGAATTTCAGATAAACAATCATTTTTTAAATCTAGGTATGTCCAAATATTGCATGGCAGCCCTATTTATTAACAAATTTCAAAAGTTCCATGAACCCCTTAAAACTGTATAAACATTTGGTGTGTAGATTTATTTTGAAAAGGGAGGAGGGTGGGTGTCAAAAGAACCAGGCGGAACAATTCAATGATGAGGTTTCCTAAAAAGAACATTTTCTTTCCCCTTTGTCTCTAAAGAGAAGTATATATAGTCCCATCATCCATCACAGTACAGGAGACAATGATGCTCTTGGTGAAATCTTAGGACCCTAGCTCTAAGTCCCTCACCTCTAAGTTACTAGTTGTGTGCTATTTGGCACCCACGTTATCCCTCCTGGTCTCAGTTCCCACATCTGACTGCTGGGAAAATTGAAGGTGATTTGTTTGGTCTGTAACCAAAGACCCTTAAGGAGAGATATTAGTGTTAGTTAATTAAAAAACCTGTGGCAATAGTTTGTATAACAAGTTAGGGTGAATAGATTTCTGGCAAGACTTATAAGGCAAGTTGATTCACCTGGAAGACAGGCACTGTTAGGCCTCAAGGCAAGACAGGAGCAAAAACTGACAAAGCAAAGGATACAGGAAACTTGGGTAATAAGTGTAAATCCTCTTAAAATGTCTAAGAAATGCATTCTAAGATAGAATCCTACAATTCAGCAAGCCTCAGGAAAAGCCTAGAGCTTTCTTGGCTCTCCCTAAAAGTACCCATTACATAAGAAACGAAGAAAGAAAAAAAATTCAGTCTAGGAATTTGAGTCTGAAGAATGGTAACCCCATTTGAATGGGACATTCCAAAATGACACATGGGCTTTCAGAAGAGGAAGAGAAAGAGGTTTGCACTCTTGCCCATAGGCCTACGCTCTTAGGTAAACTAGCTTGGCCCTAAAAAAAAGAAAAAAATGAGAAGGTGAACAGTGGAAGAGGTTAAAAGTAAAATATCAAAGGTAGCTTCTGCCAGTACCACACTATATCCCTTCAGGCAGTTGAATGCAGAGCTGACAAACGAATGGCATGGAAGAGTGAAATGAGCTTTCTAGAATGCCTGGGCCTGAGCACAGCAACATACTTCAACAATAATGGCGGAGAGGTAGGTGATGCTAAGTCTTTAAGTAACTAAAATACTTTAAAAAGGAGTCTGAGGAGAAAAAGGCCAAGAAATGCACATACATTTTAAACTAACCAAAAAAGACTCACATTTCCAAGTGAAAATGGAATATAGTGAATGTGTTTTCTAGCTCAAAATCATGATCACTAAGTGGTTGATACTAGTAGCAATTGAATTATACTAAATTGTATTTGTTCACTAATTGTGTTTGTAATTTGTATCTAATCTACTTCAGCAACTTATAATATAAACACGTTTATACAAGACCAGAGGAAGCAGACAATTCTAAAAAGGAAAAAGGAACTCTTTAGAGGAGAGGCTCTTTATCTGGGTCCGTTATCCCTCAAGGAGGTTTATTACCAGCATTGCCAGATAAAATACAGGATGCCCAGTTAAATGTGAATTTCAGATCAGCAACAAATAATTTTTTTAGTCTAGTGTGTCCCAATATTTCATGGCAACCCTATTTATTGATAAATTTCAGAAGATCCATGAGCCCCTTGATATTGTATAAAAGTTGGGTGTATATACGCATTCTGAAAAGGAGATTGGCTACAGCTTCCTACCAGAGTCTTAAATCTATGCTCTCCCAACAGTGAAACATCATTAATGCAAACAGATAATTCTTTCTCACCCTGACCTTTCCCTGTGGCCTGAGCTTCCTAGCAGCCACAGCTAAAGAGAAACACAAAGGGCAGTTTACCAAGTAGCAGCTGGGGAGAAGAGGCCCGGGAGAAAGAGGAGGTGGCCTGGGTGTGGCTGATGTGGTCTGGAGCGGGAGAGCTGTTTCACCAGGGCCTTGCAGACTAACATGGGAATCCAGGACTTGAGCCTGAGGGCGATGTGACTCCCTTAAAGGGTTTTGACTGCTTAAAGGATCAGGTTTGAGTTACAAACTATCTCTGGATGCACTGTGGAAACTGGACTGGAGAGGGGCAGGACCGGAGGAGAGGCAACAGGAGAGAGGTGATGGTGGGCTGGGGGTGAGTTGGAAGGAAATGAACAGACAGTTATATAGAAGGTGGCGTGGAGATAGGGAGGAAGAGGAGACCCAGGGGTCGGAATAAGTGCCTCAAGGGCAGGGTTTTCTCCACTCCAGGTTTTATGTCTTTTGCGGCCACCACTCTAGGAGGGTGGTGAAGCTGCTTTTCTGTGTCCCCATCCTGGGCAGGGAGCCCCTTGTGGGTCTCAGTGATGCTTACGTGCACAGTCTACCTGAGTCATTGAAAGTAGGCCCGCAGCGCTGCAGCTTCTGCTGCCATGTCCTCCTCCGATCTCCACAAGGCTGGGGAGTCCTCCTCCTCTTTGTCATGTTTCTGGAGCTTTGGAGAAAAAAATGGAATAGGTTCATTAATGGGTCCTTGAGATCTCCTTGAACAAGTGTTGTAGGGGTGGCTGAACAGAATTCATAAATCAGAGGCCAGGAGGTGTGTGTCTTTTAATTGCACTAGTTGCCAAAATTTGAAAAAGGAGATGTTTTATGTAAAAATCCATATATCCAGCTTCTCTAATAAAATAACTAGCTTAGGCGACACTGCCTTGTAATTGTCTGCTGAGGCTGGGAGTGAGGATTACAGATTTGGGGGTGGCATCCAGCCATTTACCACAATCCTCACCACTCTCTTAATCTTCTTATTCTTGGCAGGCATCATTCATTCATTTTACTTCACAGACCCTGAAGGCATTGAGTTTGCCACCTACCCATGATGGTTCCCCCGAGCTGGCCTGTGGTTTACCTACGATTCTCTTTGGCTTAGCCTGTCTTCTATGAGCTCTGAGCAGTTTTGTTCAGTGAACCAAAATAGCGCAAGCAAATTTATGATAATAATACAAGAGCCATGAGTACTGAGTAAGAAATAAGAGTATATCCATTAAAAGAGGCCTCAAGCAGGCAAACGGTGAAAGACATTAAATGAAGCAAAAATTTATCAAAAAATTAACAATCGGTCTTAGTTGAATCATTTTAAAATCCTCTTCAGAGTCCCATACTTATTTAAAAAAACATCTTGTATATGTCTCAGATTTACATAGAGAGTGAACAAAATTTCATTTCTGTCAGAGACAGAGATGTTCTCAGAACTCTCTTTATTAGAAGAGCTCAATTTTCCCTCTTACTCTCCTATTGCAATTCAGTTTTATTAACTAAATTTGTTATTCCTGTGTGTGGCTGTATACTTTGTAAAATGCTGAAGGAATAAATTCTTCACAGGATGCACAGGGTAGTATTTTGTGTTAAGTCATCTGAGGAAATTGAGGCAAACGATTTAATAGCACCAATGATGGCTACTATTTACGATGTGAAGGCTGGTTTCTTTGAGGTGTATTATTTAATTTAATCCTTACAATAACCCATACATAAGACAGGGACTACTTAGCCCCGTCCTACCAAGAAAGAAATTGAGGTCTGAGGAATTTCATTCACTTGTTCAAGATCACCCAGCTAGGCAGTGGTAGTCCCAGGGTTGTTCTCAACAATGCTTGCCTTTTAATTTGCCCCAGAGAAGCTGCAGGGCAACCACTCTCCAAAGAGTGGAGAGTTCCACACCTCCTGTTCCACCCCACCAGGAGCAGTCACCCGAGAGCCAGATCCTGCAAAAAGAATCTTGCCAACCCAGCAAAAAGTCTATCAACACGAAGAGTGGAGTTTGCTATCTCAGGCCAAAAACACTCTAAATCTAACCCAGAGACCCCCACCCTGGTGGCTGGCAGCAGATGGAGAAATTTCCCCATTATTTCGAAGTAAACTTTGATACAGAAGGCAAAACAGTGAGGGAACGATAGCCTGCCTCTGCAGCTGAGCAGTGTTTCCACTGGGGAAGTTTGAGCCTAAATGAGGCTCATTAGCATATAGTTGGGCCTCAAATATGTTTATGAGGGTCATGGATCTTCCGTTCAGAATTTGGCTGCCAGCATGCTGGTTTTACATTTTGCCACATAGATTTAATTCTCCTTAGTGGGAGAAAACCACATTAAGAAGTCATTTCCTTCCTTGCAGAGGCAGATATGACGCAATTGCTACAGGCGAGTCAAACGGGATTGCTATTTTTCTACTCAAGAACTAATTTTCATTTTGATACTAGCTTTAGGTCTGTTATAAATCCATCTTGTAACAATTCAACAAGATGCCAAAAAAAACAATACAAATCCTGGAATATATGGCCTTCCAACTTCTGGTACTGCCATGGGAAGACACAGAAATCAAGCATTAAGTGGCTTCACTAACGCAGGTCATACCAGATGAATCCACGTAATTTAGAGCCTGTGAACGTTAATGCTTCCCTTGTTATTAGGCGACCGACTGTTATTGTCATATGCCTTACAGATGGCAACGTTGTGCCAACACTTAGAAGTTGTTTATGGGAAATAGGAAATAAATAAAACAACAACTAATCATATTAGCAAAGCTCTGTTATATACGGTTTTTAAAAATATAGACATTTCCCTCCTAAAAGCCCCAGATGGAAGCACGTGGCTTTCTTGAGAACAGCCGTGCTCTACCCTGGCTGCCCATTGGAATCACGAGGAGAACCTCAAAAACTACTGATGCCTGGGTCCACTCCAGGGATTCTGATTTAATTGGTCTGGAGGCAGCTAGGTTTGGGGATTCTTTTAAACTTCTCAGGCAATTCTAAGGTCCACTTACTATTAAGAAGAACTGCATTTGGGAGAAGTGTGTGTGTGTAGATAGAGCCCATACACATAGAGAAATAATACATTTATCTTAAGCCCATTGCTTGTGCACTTATCAAAAATATCAACGCTATCCTTTGCAAACCCCGCTGTAGAACTGCTTTTCTTCTATTCATGCTCGTCGAAGGAGTGTCTGGGCCACAAGGCTTGTCTCAGCAACACCAGGATGCTGATCTAGTTCGGGAGCCTTTGACTGGGTTTTCAGTCTCTGCAGGAATAGGGAGCCCGGGAAAGATCCTGGTGGGCAAGACTTGTGTCCTAGAAGAGCCATCCAGGTGACCTGGAAATTAAACATGCTGTAGTTTGGAGTCAAGCTCTGCTTCCCTGAGGCAACCGGAGAATCTGGTGGCTGCAAGCCATTGCCCTGCTAACAGAGGAAAGCCCTAATGATCTTCAACAGTGGCTTATCCAAAAGGCATTATTTGCCTTGGGCGAGCTTTAATAGGGGAGTTCACTTCATCACTTCAGATGAACCTTCCAGATTACCTTAGGCTGTCTGCAGGGAAAGGCAGGGACTGCTTATTAAAACACCAGATATTTATGCCAGCCCTGGCACTAAAGCGCTGAACTAGACAAACCCCTTTACTGTCCTCCTGGGGCACCCAGGGAGGTAGGGTAGACACCAAATTGTTAATTATAAGTGAGATGGGCATGACCAAATAGGAGGGATGCTGGGAGGGGCTAACCTAGTTCAAAAGGCTTTTGAGAGCCAACTTAATTTCACAAAGAAATAGAAGACTATAATAAAGAGTGATGGGGGAAAGGCGATTATCTAAGGAGCATCCAGCAAGGGCTCTCCAAGAAGGTGATGTTAGGCTCAGACTTGAACAATGGGAAGGGCAAGCTTCTTAACCTCTCTGTGCCTCAGTCTCCCCCTCTATAAAAAGGGAATAGTAAAAGAGTACGTAGTGATGTGCCTGACACATAGTAAGTTGTGCTTAATGTTTGCTGCTGCTGCTGCTGCTGCTATTATTGTTATTAGGATGGATATACTGTCCCCATAACAGTGACCACTGACCAACTCACAGAGGTTGTTTCCAGGGGTAAAATTACCTTTACTAACTTCATGGTTCCCTAGTAACCTGTATCTTTTAGACCTTAACTTCCTTATAAAAGGATTAAAAACTATTATCAGAATTCAGTCCCAAACCAACTAATCTGAGATATTCAAGTCTGAAGAGGAAATGTAGCTCCTTCAGCTCTAAAATGACCTGAAATAATCCCTACTCTCAGGGTCATCGTAAGGAGTGAATAGGGTATGAATGGAGGCTCCTCACAGGTCAAGTTTAAAGTCCTAGAGTAAGAGCATGTGGTGAATGTCAAATGCAGTCAAAATTTCCCTGGGAGTGTGGTTGCCAGGTTTAGCAAATAAAAATACAGGGCACTCAGTTAATTTGGTTTAGTATATTTCATGCAGTATTTAGAACATACTTACACTAAAGAATACTTATTGTTTATCTGAAATTCAAATTTAACTGGGCTTCCTGTATTTTATCTGGCAGCTCAATCTAGGAGACCCCTCAGAAAGCTACCACTGGAGGTGCTTGGCTTGCATTTGGGTTGTTCCCTAACATTTCTAGCTGTGACTCCTGGAAAAGACAGAGGAGACTGTCCAGAGGAGAGCAACTTCAAGGCCAGTACTGTGTGCACTCCAGGGCTTATTATTATTATTGCATGAGATGCAGAGTAAATCACCAGCAGTATTTAAATTCTGTAGTTCATCAGTTCTAAGACGCGCACATTTTCATATTTTAACATCTCTGAAATCAAAGCGTGTCCTACAATCAATGATGTGTCATAATTTAATTGGCAGTGTGTGTTTTTCTTTCTCACTAGTACATAAAATAACAGTGCTTCTTCCAACTGACAGTGTCTGGGGTTCAACACACTGCAGTTCTCCATCTCTCCTCCCGGCAGCTACCACACAAGTTAAAGGTAACTCAACTCGCTGTGAAAATACTCAGCACCACAGCTGATAACATGCGTATTCCTATTCTTCTCCCAGTGCAACAGCAACAGTTGAAATCATTTCACAGCTGCTTGGTTCTTTGGAAGAAAGTGCAGGCCAAAGTGGCAAGGTATGCAAACTTGAACCAAAGTCTTTATACGCATTCAACAGATTGAGGTCTGTGATGGCTCCTTTGAGCTAATTCTATTTCTATACAGCTTTGAAAAGAGATTTTAAAATATATTCATCTGCAGTCATTCCACTTTATCTGCCTGAAATGATTTTCAGGGAAGGTAGTGTTAAGAGGATTTCTGATTGAAGTTCTGATACTTGTCGATTTTGACATTTGCTCCTTCCTGCTCATTGAATGTGTTAGCACTAGGGATGTGGGGTAATGATTAATTCCCTGATGCAGTGCTCAAACTGCCTTGGCTATTGACGTTTTTATAGCTCTGTAATGGAATACAGTTGGAGGAATGATTCACAATAATTTAAATGTTTTTCAGAATTTGGAACCAACATGTAGTAAAACGCCAAATTGTCTTCAAAAGGGGGACAAACAATTTAATGCCACTTTTTAAAGAAGAAAGTGGCTGAATATAAACTTGGGTGTTGTCATAAAATACATTAATATATTTCATTGTTATTAGATTTGTAAAAACAATATGAAGAGCAGAGAGCTTA